TTAGCTCAGCGGCAAAGCACCTGCCTGGCAAGCGCAAGGTCGTGAGTTCGGTTCCCGGTACCGGAGAAAAACCAAAACAAACAAATAAAAAAAAACAAGCAAGGAATGGAAAAAAAAAGTACAATAAAAGATATCAACAATAACCATTGATAGGGCTGGGGATTTAGCTCAGTGGCAAAAGCGCCTGCCTGGCTATAGCGCAAGGTCGCGAGTTCGGTTCCCGGTACCGGAGAAAAAAAACAAAAAAACAAACAAACAAAAAAAAAACAATAACCATTGATAATTTCCTAACACTTTGTCTGTAATTTGGTAAGCCCCTCCTATTATTATGTTATCCTTCTTTTACTCTTTAAAATAAAAAATGAATAAATAAATAAAAGCAAAAAATTAAACACCTGAATTCAATCCCCAGTACTGTGGGGGAAAAAAGGTTAAACTAACCCAACAATGGGTTTATTCAATTATAATATTCTTTATGTCAGAATTTTGATTAATATACCACTAGAAAATGAAAACCACAGCAGCAGAAAGTGAACTTCATTAGTTCTTGTATGAGTTTCAGCAGATTAGGCCACCCAAGAAGGACTTGAGAACTGATCTACATACTATAGCAAAAGTATTGAGTCACAACAATAAACACTCTCTTCAGCAGAGAACTGGGCTTCATGCATCTTATTTAGAAGTACAGAGTAAAATTCATATATAGTAAATAAAAGAACATAATTTTCAATCCACCATGGGACTAAGTCACTTGATTAATGTGTCACTACTAAGTATTTTGCTACTTTCAAAAATCTTTTCTACTATACTATCTTTCCTAAATTATGAAAGGTAGTTAAAGCTAAGATTTTCTGTAACTTTTATTACATGATATTTTCCAGCTGACTATTGAAAATTTTCTATAAATCATTTCACCAATGTTTGGATCTCAGACTCCCAGACAGACCACCAATTAAACAACACGTCCAGTTCTGAGGGTGATCACATTAAACAGTGGCCAAGTTGGTTACAATTCAGGGAATATCAACCCAGATGGTGAGGCTGAAGCGATGGTGGGAGAAACTAGACACGGTACCTCATAGAGAAGGAACACCACAGACTGCAAAGGGTTGCCCCTCAAGGACTCCAAGGGTAAGAATGGCCATGTGTATGGAAGGAACTAAATGGGGCACATGAAAGACAGCAGAAAACAGCATCCAATGCCCCACTTGGGGCATTAGTGCCCAGCCAGGCTGGAAAACCCCACAATTAAAGGCGCGCTAGGACACTACACTGAGGAACAGACTAAACACCACTCTGGTCCTGCGTAACAAATCTTGCAAGATTCCAAAGGACCACATTGTTTCCAACTAATTCCACTGTGGTCCCAGAATAACACTCATGGCTATTTTTAACAATATAAAAATAGCCAGCAACCAAGAAGGTAAAATGTACAATGTCTGCATAAATTCAGAAATTAGTAGGGAGTGGACATGAAGAGAATTCACTTAAATGAACTGAAAGCTGACACAGAAATTAGTTGGCAGAGAACACTGACACAGTTACTATAACTATATTCTGTACATTTAAAAAGGTAAGAGAATTGAAGATATTATAAAAGATGTAGAGGGCCAGGGATATAGTTCACTGGCACAGCACCTACCTGGTAAGTGCAAGGCCCTGAGTTCAATTCCCTGTACCCAAAAAACAAAAAACACAAAAAAAGATGTAGAATCAGCTGGGCACAGTGGTACATGCCTGTAATCCTAGGTAGCACTCAGGAGGCTAAGGCAAAAGGATCAGCATAAGTTCAAGGCTATCCTAAAATTCATAGTGAGTTCAAGGCCAGCCTGGACTGCATAGTGAGACTTTGTCTTAAAAAAAATTAAAATAAAACATCTAGGAACAAAAACTATAATGTTCAAGATGAAAAATGCAAATGCTGATATTAATGATAAATTAAGGCATTTAGAAAAAGGTCCACTAAACTATAAATTGCAAAAAAACCTACACAAAATAATTTTTAAAAATTAACATAGCATCAATGAGTTCTGAGACAACTTTAAAAACTCTAGTAAACATGTGATTTATGGGGCTGGGGATTTAGCTCAGTGGCACAGTGCCTGCCTGGCAAGCACAAGGTTGTGAGTTCAATTCCCGGTACCAAAAAAAAAAAAAAAAAACGTGATTTATGTCCAAAAGGAGAAAGGAAAAGAGCCAGAAAAATATATGAAGAATTAGTCTCCAAAAAAAAACTGAAACAGATCCAAGAAGTTCAACAAACTCCAAGCACAAGACATATGAAGAAAAGGACACACCTTATAAAAATTACTCAAGCCTGTGATAAAGAGAAATGTCTTAAAACACCCAGAAAAGAGAGAAGCACTAAATGTGACAAAGGATGACATCAGATTTCTTGTTGGAAGTAATGCAAATGAGAAGATAATGGAGCAAAAAACTTTAAAACACTAAGGGGAAAAAAAAACAACAACAATTCTACGCTCATTAAAAATGTCTTTCAGAACCAAGGTGAAATAGAGACTTCTTCAGGCATGTAAAAACTGAAGGAATTCAGCAGCAGCAAACCCGCCCTACAAGAAATATGAAAGAAGTCTTTCAGGCAAAAGCGAAATGACACCAGAAAAAATGTGGATCCACTCAAGGAACACAGAGAGCCCGAAATGGTAAGTACATTCATCTTATTATTTAAATATCCTTTAAGGATAAAAACTGACTACTTAAAAATAATAACAGAATGTGTGGTTTATAACAGAATGTGTGGTTTATAACATATGTTTAAGCAAAATGTATGACAACAGTCACATAAAGGACAGGAGTAGAGAAATGTAATGATAACTATTACAAGATTCTTACATACAGGAAATGGTGACTCACTTGAAAACAGACTTTGATAAGGTAGCTATTAACAATAATAAGCTGGGCATGGTGGCCCACGCCTGTAATCCCAGCACTAGGGAGGCTGAGGCAGGAGGATCATTGTGAGTTTGAAACCAGCCTGGGCTACAAAGTGAGCTCAAGGCCAGCCTGAACTGCATAGTGAGACCCTGTCTCAAAAAAGACAAACAAACAAACAAAAAAAACCCCAGCAAGTCTTAATTATATGCTTCCACTTAAATATAAACACAGAAATAGGTTAAAAGTAAAAAGATGAAAAAATATATACTCTACCATGCTAACACAAACAAAAAACCTGAAATGCTTACATCATATTACGTAACAAAGTACATTTCAGCACAAAAATATTGAGAGACAGAGATCAACTCATTTTGGTAAAAGGGTTGGTACATCAACAGAACAAAGTAGATCTATAAATTATACACATAGTAGCATGGTTCAAAGCTGAATTCTACCAAACACTTAAGGAAAACATAGTCAGTTCTACACAAACTCTTTCAAAAATCTGAAGAGGAAACACTTTTCAAGCCATGTTATGAGGCCAGCATTATACTGGTACCAAAACCAGGCAAAGATACTACACAGACGCCAAAATCCTAAACTAAATTTCAGGAACCACAGGATCTCTTGCTGTCAGCAAGACATTTTACATTTCTTTAACCAAGTAGAAGCTTCAAAAAGCAGTTAAGAGCCAGGCATGATGGTGAACTCCTGTAATCCCAGCACTCAGGAGGCTGAGGCAGGAGGAATACCAGGAGTTCAAGGCTAGCCTGGGCTACATAGTGAGTTCAAGCCGACCCTGAACTACACAGTGAGATCCTGTCTCAAGAAAAAAAGAAAAAACTGGCATACAAACTCAAAATAAAGCAAAACACATTGGACCCTCATGACCTTATCAAAGTTGATTAAAAAAAAAAAACTCCACTTGTGCTATTGTCCCTAACAGAACTCTCCCTGTAGCATGTTTAACAATGGACTGCCCATTGTGTCAGGTGACAGCCACAGCCTCACTAGTGATCATCATCTACACAGTACAGTAGGCCAAGGATAAGAAAGAAAAAGTAAAGGCTGAGAAGGAGGCTTCAGACTACTATGCTTCTTGCTGCACCATACTGGCAGGTGGAGATGTTTTCGAAGCTCCGGGGTGGTCATCCAGCTTCTTCCTTTAAACCTCAGTCTGTGAGCAGGGTGTGGACACCAGCTGCTAAGTGGCCAGCCTTTTGATAGAGGAGGGGATCATCTGGCCAAGCTGGAGACTCTATTTCTGGTTCTGCTGGTTCATGGACTGGCTACCGCACTGAAACTTTCAGGGATGACCTGCCAAGGTGAAGCATACCGAGGGGTCCTGGCCACGAGGGACAGATATGTGACAACCAAGAGCAGACCACTGCCGGCAGACAGCCAAATGCCAAACTCAAGCCCATTCATCTTTACACCCATCCATATGTGAAATTTAGTCAGTACCAATTTTAAATTTCAATTTAAATTCTGTTAAAAAAATTCTAAAGAAAAGGCCACACTGCTGGGCGTGGTGGCGCATGCCTGTAATCCCAGCACTCGAGAGGCTGAGGCAGGAGGATTGTTGTGAATTCAAGACCAGCCTGGGCTACAAAGTGAGCTCCAGGCCAGCCTGAACTGCACAGTGAGACCCTGTCTCAAAAAGACCAAAAAAAGAAAAACAGGAAAAGCCATGCTGTATATATCAGAAATCTTCTGTTTTTAACAGTCCCTTCTTCAAAAATTCATGCCAAGAGAAAAAGACCTTCAAAGTACACTTTTTCTCACTCAAAATTAAATTAACTAAAGACAGGGTTCTCTGGGCATGGTGGTGCACACCTGTAATCCCAGCACTCAGGAGGCTGAGGCAGGAGAATCACTGCGAGTTCAAGGCTCAAAAAGACAAAAAAAAAAAAAAAAGACAGGGCTCATGACTGATTAAAACAAGGTCTCACAAGAAGTATTTTATCTTACTTTAGAATTGGTCTTTTTTACTTTCGATTCTAAGTGGTTTCCATTAAGGACATAAAAATAAGATGGCTAATCCAGAACCCTTAAAGTTGGCAGAGGAGTACTGCCATTCATGCAGGTGGGAGGGAGGAAGAGAAAGTGCACCAGCCCAGCAGTCAGGACTTTGCGGTTTGGTAGCCAAGCTCCCCTCTGTTACATAATAGCTGGGTCTTAGCCAACTGTTTCTCAGGGTCATTGTTTCTCCTTCGTGAAGCACAGTAATGTATTCGTATCTTCTCTCTCTCCCCGTTTCCGTCCTACCTCCCGTCCCCTCTCTCTCTTCTCACAGGCAGTGAGCAAATGGGAAGTACCAGCTATGCACTTTGTGGCCTCTGCATTTTACAAAATGCCATGCAAATAGATTATTACATAATTGTTTATATTTGTTTAATCTTACAGACTCCTTCACCAATAAGATTATCTGGATAGTAATTATTTAAAACAATCTTTTGGAACAAAAACTAATTTCTTTATCCTTTAAAAAGAAAAACAAAACAATGAAATGACCTTAGTTTGTAATAATCTAGTTATAGTCACATCCGAGCCCTTCCTCTTGTTAGGTAACACTTTGGTTCTCTATTACAAAGTTCAAGTGTGACTCTGCAGGGAGCCTCAACTCACTAAGGGCAAAGGATGAACACAGAAATACAAGATTTCCAGGTGCTGCCCAGGGTTGTTTGCTTTGGAAGGCCGACGTCCGCAGCGCAGCCTCTGCAGACTAAGTTTCGACAGCGCGGGCCCAGAGACACAGCACACACCAGGCTGCTCTGCTGCCCAGTGTTGTATTTCAGGCCAGCTTAAGGGCCTTACAATTGAAAACAGTCTTGGTGGTAAAAGCAATTATTCCCCCAGCTGGCAATGAGAGCACAGTGGTGCAAGAGAGAACACCCAGGAAACTTCGCTCAGGTTCACTGCAGGTCTTGGGAGCCAGGGCCCCAGGAGCTGTGACTTCATGATCAGACTGGGGACTGGAATTGCAAACGGACCAGTTTAAAATGAAAGCACTGATTCAGCTATCCAGTTTGTGTATTTCCAGAGTGATACAATGTGCCCCAAGTGGTGGGTCCATTTAACAAAGATACAAGAGGCCTAAGTACTTCAGTTATACTTAAATCAGTACTTTTTCAACCAATTGATGAATACGTTAGCGCCACCACTCCCAAGTAAGTAATGTAATAAGGAAGAGGTGTCTTGAAGAGAGATCAGTTTGAAGAAGTTCACTGATCTTCCCAATTTCACCCCTTCTGTAACAGTGTTCTGAAGACCAGACATGGTGGTGCACGCCTGTAATCCCAGCACTCGGGAGGCTAACGCAGGAGGATCTTTGCAAGTTCGAGACTAGCGTGGGCTACAAAGTGAGCTCACAGCCAGCCTGAACCGCATAGAGACCCTGTCCCAGAAAGACAGAAAAAAAACTATTGTTCTGAGAAATGCAGAGCCATCTCTTTTTACGTGCTTACAACTGTACATGCATTGCCGAAAGTAATTCAATTACAGCTATCAGCATTTCTAGATGTTTTTCATCTATCATTAATACTCCACATTCTTCTAAGTCTTACTTCATTGTCCAGTATGGTGGCCACTAATCACATGGCTATTTAAATTCAAGTTAAAATTCAGTTCCTCGGTCACACTAGCCACACTTCAAGTGCTCAAAAGCTATATGCAGCTGACTAGTGTGAAATACAGGAGATGTGCATCCACCCGAATTGTAGTGAACACTCTCACAGGTGGAACGGGGGGAGATGAAAGTAGAAGACAGATTATTAAAGAGGGAATAAAAAAGGGAAGGGCAAAGGGAGGTAAAAGGGCTAGAAATGATCTAAGTATAATATATGCATGTATGGATACCAAAATGAAACCAATTACTCTATATGACTTGTGCTCGCTTCGGCAGCACATATACTCTATATAATACGCACCAGTTAAAAAACTGAATTGAAAATAAGTGAGAATAACCCCCCATACAAAATATATATGCAGCTGAAGATTCTGGAGTCTTTGTTCTGTTCATGGTGAATCTTTGAGGTAATTAATATAAGTTTTGTGCAAAACTAATCTGAGATGAAACTGTAAAGCCTGATTCAATATTTGTTGTTTGAAAAGTGACAGCTTCAGCCAGGGATGGTGGCACACGCCTGTAATCCCAGCGCTGAAGAAGCTGAGGCAGGAAGATCATTGCGAGCTCGAGACCAGACTGGGCTACAAAGTAAGCTCAAGACCAGCCTGAACTACGTAGAGACCCTGTCTCAAAAGACAAAAAAAACTAACCAAACAAAAAGTGATAGCTTCAAGCTTCATTCCTCTTCTTTTCCCAGTAGGGAAACTTCTGGATTATAAAAAATGCATGAGGTAGATCTATTTACAGGCATACACACACAAAGAAAACGTAAGGGACTGTAGGAACAGGCAACTGTTAGAGGAACGCTGAAGGGTAAGACTGAGGAGGTAGAAAATATTACTTATATAGGACTTCTAAATGACTTTAAATTTCCATGTCTATATAGCATGCGATATTTATATAAATATATTCTACAATATACTATGTAGATGCCATTGTAACTAGTATCACCTCAATAAAAATGATTAAACATCATTTTAAAAAGTTCTACTGGTTAACACTGACCTTTTTATGGGGGGGTGACATAGGGTCTCACTGTGTAGTTCAGGGTGGGCTTGAACTCACTATGGAGTCCAGGCTGGCCTTGAACTCAGTGATCCCCCTGCCTCAGCCTCCCAAGTGTTAGGATTACAGGCATGCACCATCATACCTGGTACAACACTGTCTTTGACCATCTCCACCAAATGATTATCTTGAGCTGAACAAAGACTCATTAGTTCTTGCACCAACTCACACGCCCCTCCGGACATGACTATACCAGATATCCTCCCTTACACCCAAAAGATGAGATGCTAATTCCAAGTATTCTAAGATAATACAATGTGCCCAGAGGAACTGTTTGCGAGAACTGCAAAACATCTACCTTTTGTGCTTGACAGGACTGAAAGTTCAACAGATCAAATTTCATTACAGTTCAGTGTAATCATGGAAAGTTCGATGACAAAGTCAGATGTATGGCACAACAAGAACAGAGAAAGTTTACTGATAGAATAAAAAAAAGAACTGAAAATAACCAGGGTAAGGAGAGCCAAGGAACAAGCTCAGGGAAGACCAGTTAAAATAGGGTACATTACACTGCAGAAATAACACTGTATTTACAGCACTGAATTGTAGCAGCTTAACACCAAAGGTTCCTATCTTGCTTATGCCATGTGTCTACACTGAGTTAGCAGGGATGTTCAGGGCAGTCACCCAGTATGATCATTTTGGGACACAGGGCAACAAAAATGGCCAGCATCTTGAATCCTGCTGATCCAAGGGCCAGAGAAAACCAGATCTGTGCCAAAAGGAGCCTTGAGGCTTTGACAGCTTCCTCCTGAAAGTGAGTTTCTCACAGCTCTTCAGTCAAAGCCAGTCTCCTGACCTCACTTCCCCAGGACAGGTGTCACCTGCCAGAATGGCCATTTCCAGGGGCAAAATATGAGGCTCTTAGCAGGAAACATCTAATCTCTAACACTGCTAAAACCAGCGTCTAGTAAGTTTAAATGTAACACTAAAGCACAAATGAATTCAAACACTACAAAAGAAATGCATAAAAAGAGATAGAAGTGATTATACCCAGAAAGGTTTCAGAAAGCATGAGTGTTGCTGAGTCGTCCTTCCCTCATCAGCAACAGCGTCCATTCCTGCCCTAAGCCCTCCGACTGCTTAAGGCTACACTGCTCTTTTCCTTCCCTTGCAGAAGATCATAAAATACCTGCCAAACAAAACGTCAAAACCTGACAAAACAAAGTTCATTATTATGAAATTCTAAAAGCTTTTGTTGGAAAAGTAACAAATGAAATGAAATCTTGCCAGGGATATAGCTCAGCAGCACAAGTGCCTGCCTGGCAAGTGCAAGGTCCAGAGTTCGATTCCCAGTACAAAAAAAAAAAAAGAAAATGCAGGGAAATGAAATCTTAACATAAGCAAAATTAATGAATAAAATTGTTGGAAAAGTAATGAAACAACTAAATTTTACAAATTTAAATGAGAAATCTGATTTAGGAGAAATTATCTTTAACAAATGTAAAATTTTTAAAAACCATATCCAAGTTTTTTAGAAACAAAAATATTAAAATAAGCAGATTTTTTAAGTTTTTGGAAAGCTCCAACATGAAGAATCCACTTTGTCAGAGTTGAAACATTTTATCACATAAAAAACTAGATCTGGCCAGCCACGGTGGTGCACACCTGTAATCTCAGCACTCCGGAGGCTGAGGCCAGAGGATCATTGTGAGCTCAAGGCCAGCCTGGGCTACAAAGTGAGTTCAAGGCCAGCCTGAACTACACAGCCTACCTCTAAAAGACAAAAAAAAAAAAAAAACAAAAACTAGATCTGGCCTCAAACTCACAGCGATTCTCCTGCCTCAGCCTCCCAAGTGCCGTGATTACAGGCTTGCACCACCACGCCTGGCACAAAATCAACTTTTCCAAGCATAAATTATGTATTAAATGGATAAAAGTACAAGTTCAATTGTTTTTCACTTAGCCATTTTTGGAGGGTGATGATGAGTCCATACTAAACAAAACTGATTTTCTGAAAATCAGAAAGTTTTGTCTTGCTTCTTTAGTCCTAAGAGGGCATGTTGCTTAAATGTAGTCATACCACGTCACTCTGGTATCCACAAATGAGTATATATAGGAATTTCTAAACACAGGGAGCTTTTTTTTTTTTGAGCTTTGATATTGTTAAATTATTTCATAAACTAATACCATCTCTTTTTTTTTTTTTTTTGGCTGGGAATTGAACTCAGGCCCTTGTGCTTGGCAGGCAGGCACTTGTGCCGCTGAGCTATATCCCTGGCCCATCTCTTACAGAAACGTTTTTCTTCAAGCAAGTTTTTAAGCACCGGGGACATAGCTCAGCGGCACAAGTGCCTGCCTGGCAAGTGCAAGGTCCTGAGTTTGATTCCCAGTACCAAAAAAAAACCAAGTAAGTTTTAAGTCTAGAAATTAATTATAGCTAGTAAAGCAATGAATGTTAAAAAAAAAAAAACAAACAAACAAAAAACAAACAAACAAAAAAAAAACAACTAGATCATGGCATGCCAAAATAATTTTTCAAAGTGATAGTGTAGCTTATCAAAATGTCTGGGCACATTTTATAGCTTTCAGCTGCAGAATGTACTAAACTCAAAACTAGATGTGATCTATCTTCTTTCAATCAGTCGGGGAAGAAACGGGCTAAAATTTTGCAACTGCTAAGACAGTGGGGTTTTGAAAATTACTATAAAAAGCCATACCCAAAGCAATAACATATTCTAGTTATCCAAAATATTTAGTTGATTAGCAATACATCAATAGTATTTAAATATCTATCAATGAAAGGTAACTTTATCAAGCCAGGTATGATGCCACAGGCCTGTAATATCAGAACTTGGGAGGCCGATATAGGAGGATTGCCATGAGCTGGAGACCAGCCTGAGTTACAGAGTTCAAGATCAGCCTAACTATAGAACAAAACCCTGTCTCAAAACAAAACAAAACAAAACAGCTAGGCGTGGTGGCACACACTTGTATCCCAGCACTTGGGAGGCTGAGGCAGGAGGGTCATTGGGAGTTGGCGACTAGCCTGGGTTACAAAGTGAGCTCAAGGCCAGCCTGAACTGCATGGTGAGACCCTGTCTCAAAAAGATTAAAAAACAAACAAACAACAACAAGAAAACAGATAACTGTATATAACAATGTTATGAATTTGTTAACTCATATCCCACTAGTTAAGAATTTTAGGAGCCAGGTGTGGTGGCGCACGCCTGTAATCCCAGCACTCAGGAAGCTGAGGCAGGAGGATCGTTGGGAGTTCGAGACCAGCCTGGGCTACAAAGTGAGCTCAAGGCCAGCCTGAACTGCATAACGAGACCTTGTCTCAAAAAGAAAAAAAAAAGGGGGGGTGGGTGTGTCCAAATGGAAGTCTGTTTGATTGTACAAAAAGATAAACAGTGGAGAACTCAATATAGGATTAAAGTACATATTCTTGTCTTTCATCCAGTTATCTTCATCCAATAATCATATGCTTCAAACACTAAATCAAGTCTTTAGATGTGGCTCTTAAGGTAACTGGCATAATTATTTTCTTCCTAGGAAGCTACGTAAACAGTATCAGTATTTAAAAGATAACTTGGGAAAACATGAGAATACAAACTAAGCCCAAGGAGTCAGAGGTCCTGTGGACTGGGGTCACGAGAGCCGTTCGGAAGTTGTAAACCAGGAGGACCTTGTGCAATATCTGGGGAGACCCCCTGGAAGCCATTCTTCCCCTGACAGTACAGGCTGTGGTGGAGCTCCAGAGAAGTCTGCAGCAGGATTCCTGCTGCCTGTGCTGACAGTTGAGGAGAGGACACTAACTGGTTGTGGGGTCCCAATGTGATGGGAGGCTGGAAAGAAAAAGCTACAAAGAATGGCTTTCACCCAGACGGCTCACTTGAAATGTTAGTAAGAACTGCCTCCTCAGTATTCTATAGCCATGACGAGGACACCAAGGAGAGAAAACAAAGAGACCGAGAAAAAGCAGCTGCTTTTGCTGCAGCACTAAGAGAAACAGACCCCAGGTCTGATTCCTGGGGCCCCAAGAAGAACTTGATGACTGCATTCATCTGCTACTGCTGTTAAAAGCCAGGCCACCTCAAGAGGAACTGCCCTAAGAGGCCTCAAGGGCCATGCCCTGAATGCAAAGGTGACCACTGGAGATTGGTCTGCCCTCTGAAGTGGAGGCCCCAGAGCTCAGACCCATCCTACCAGTTAGTCCAACAGGAATGAGAGGGCCCGGAGCATACTCTGCCTTCTCCCTCTGGCCAGTCTGTCATCTCCATAGAGGAGCTCTGGGTAATCATGACTATGGAGGAACAAGAAAACAGCCTGCTGCTAGACACAGGTGCAAGTCTCTCGGTCCTTCTTTTCAATCCTGGCTTCCTTCCAGCCATCACACCTCAGTGACAAGAGTCACTGGTGAGGAGGTAATATGCTATTTTTGACAACCCTTAGGCTGTAACTACTTGTTAGATCCTTCTTGCATATCTGTCTTCCTGAGAAACCACTTTGAAGATACCACCATGTATTACAGCAGCCATTGATATTTTCCTACTAATCTATCCATAACTCTGTAATGTTTGCATTGTTCCTATCCTATTTCATAAATGGATGCATGTTTATTATTGTGTGCTTCCTACAACCATTGAGAATAGTTAATGATTATTCAATAGGTCACTCATGTATAGCTCTATTCATTTTCTTTAGAAGCCACTTTGAAGACACCAAATTATTGTATAACTACTGATAATCTCCTACGTCTCTTGTCTGTAACTCATTATTATTTGTCTATTTGTTTTCCTAAGAAACTATCTTGTAGATAACAATATGTAAAACAATAACCATTATTAATTTCCTACCACTTTGTCTGTAATTTGGTAAGCCCCTCCTATTATTGTTATCCTTCTTTTACTCTTTAAAATAAAAAATAAAATAAAATAAAAGATAACTTGTTACAAAAAATGTATTGCTATAGACTTCTGCTTTTTGCATCAACACCAACAGTTTTGTTCAAGACTTAATATTTTTAAGGCACCTGGGACCTCCAAGAAGAAATAAAGTAGGTGGCCATTCCTTTGCTTATTTGCTTGTTTATAGACTGCTCCTGCTTTCTGCTGGTGGACACTGCGGAGGAAGCACTGTTAAGTCTTTCTTCCGACTGCCGTCTAAGTCAGAGTCTCCTAAGGAGCACGAGCAGCTGCAAAAGCTCTTCGTCAGAGGGCTGAGCTTTGAGACCACCAATGAGAGCCTGGGAAGCCATTCTGAGCAATGGGGAACCCTCACAGACTGCGTGGTAATGAGAGATCCGAACACCAAGCATTCCAGGGGCTTTGCATTTGTCACTTACGCCACTGTGGAGGAGGTGGATGCAGTCATGAATGCAAGGCCACACAAAATGGATGGAAGAGTAGTGGAACCAAACAGAGCTGTCTCAACAGAAGATTCTCAAAGACTAGGTGCCCACTTAATGGTGAAGAAGATCTTTGTTGGTGGCATTAAAGAAGATACTGGAGAACATCACCTACGAGATTATTTTGAACAGTATGGAAAAATCGACGTGATTGAAATCATGACTGACCAAGGTAGTGGAGAGAGGAGGGGCTTTGCTTCTGTACCTCTGATGACCATGATTCTGTGGATAAGCCTGTCATTCAGAAATACCACACTGTGAACAGCCACAGTTGTGGAGTGAGAAAAGCCCTGTGGAAGCAGGAGACAGCAAGTGCTTCATCTAGCCAAAGAGGTCAAAGTGGTTCTGGAAATTTTGGTGGTGGTCGTGGAGGTGGTTTTGGTGGCAATCACAGTTTTGGTCACGGAGGAAAACTTCAGCGGTGGAGGTGGCTTTGATGGCAGCCAAGGTGGAGGTGGATATGGTGGTAGCAGGGATGGCTACAATGAATTTGGTAATGATGGAAGTAATTATGAAGGTGGCGGAAGCTACAATGAATCTGACAATTACAACAATCAATCTTCAAATTTTGGACCCATGAAGGGAGGAAACTTTGGAGGCAGAAGCTCTGGGTCCTACAATGGTGGAAGCCAATACTTTATCAAACCACGAAATCAAGGTGGCTACAGTGGTTCCAGCAGCAGCAGTAGCTATGGCAGTGGCAGAACGTTTTAAACGCTTCCAGGAAACAAAGCTCAGCAGGAGAGAAGAGCCAGAGAAGTGACAGGGAAGCCTACAGGTTAACAATAGATTTGTGAACTCAGCCAAGCACAGTGGTGGCACGGCCTTGCTGCCACAAAGAAGACATGTTTTAGACAATACTCATGTATATGGGCAAAAAACTCGAGGACTGTATTTGTGACTAACTGTATAACAGGTTACTTTAGTTTCTGCTCTGCGGAAAGTGTAAAGCATTCCAACAAAGGGCTTTAATGTAGACTTTTGCACCCATGCTGTTGATTGCTAAATGTAATAGTCTGATCATGACACTGAATAAACGTGTCCTTTTTTAGACTGCTCCTGCTTCCTAGGAACACACCGGAAAATGTCATCTTCTAACAGCAACATTTCCCCTAAGGCCCAAGTTACAAGCAAGACACAGATCACTTCAGGTCCTTGGATCTTGCATTTCTGAAGGCAGAAAAAGTAAACAGAAGTTGTAACTTTTTTTTTTGTTTTTTGAGACAGGGTCTCACTATGTAATTCAGATCACCAATGCTAGATGCTTTCAAGAACTACTGAGGAACTGTTTCCAGCAATGACCAGGTTCAGAGGGTGCTGGCTCCCTTGCAAATTTCCTTGAAACCTTGATCTGCAGAACAGACTTAACCTTGACCAATAACGTGATCTTTCACCATCTTTGCAGAGCTAGCACAAAAGGACCAAACACAGATGAAGACATCCTAGTGTAAGTGCAGACCCTGGTGCCAGCAGCAAAGAATGACGAGATGTGGGCAGAAACCTTGTGATCACACATGACAGCTGAACATACCACCTCTTTGTGCAGTAACTTTCCTCCAAGTCCTCAGGAGGCCGCTCTAGAGCCCCATCCCATGCACAAGCCTCAGGAAAGCTTCATGCGGATGAGATAGCTTGCCCCTTCATAATTCTATTCCACACTGAACAGGAGAGCCCAAGACAGAGCTGGTAACACAGACTGAGGGCGACTCAAACTGAAAAGGGTTGCATCTTGTCTTTTTGTGATTTCTATCCTGAACTGAGCAAAAGAACGCTTGGCAGACTGGCAACCCAAACACACATGGCATGGTTCAGAAAAACATAAAAATGGAAGACAAACAGTTAACTACATGTACATAAAACCTAAAAATTAGCTTCCAAAAGACTTATGTTAAATATAAAGCTGGTTGCTGGGCATGTGGGCACACATCTGTAATCCCAGCACTTGGGAGGCTGAGGCAAGAGGATTGCAATAAGTTTGATGCCAGCCTGGGCTACACAGTGAGTTCAAGTCTGAGCTACATAGCAAGAGCCTGTCTCAAAAATATGTATCTATAGATATACATACATATATATACATATATACACACAGATATAGACACATGCAATTGGTTATACCTTTCTTATACATTCTAGTCACGTTCTTCATGTGAAATATTTGATTTTAGCCAGGCGTGGTGGCACACACCTGTAATCCCAGCACTCGGGAAGCTGAGGCAGGAGGACTGTTCCAAGTTTGAGGCCAGCCGGGGCTACAAAGTGAGCTTTAGGCCAGCCTGAACTGCATAGCAAGACCCTGTCTCAAAAAGACAAAAGACAAAAGACAAAAAAAAAAAAAAAAGAAATATTTGATTTTGAGGTTAGTAGTATTTTACTTAAGTGAAAATGAAATTCAACAACCCTAAGAAGGAAGAAATTACTATTCCTTAAAATATTTAATAAATTAAGATAATCTTTTCAAAATAGATCTTTCAGGTATAACTTAACTACCAGTTACTACAAGAGTAATTTTAAACTACATTTATGTTACAGAGCTTTAAACTTTTATGTTTCAACTGTCTGTTGATCTTTGACAATGTCCAACATCTTTGTAATTCATCCAAACTGTTGCCCCTATAAATCTCTCACTTTGTCCTCTCAGTTTAATATTTCCAACTATTCACAGGGTATTTCCACTTGAACTTAAGCCAGCCAGGGCCCCATTTGTACACAAGTGTCCATACACATATACACATTAACAATTAACTATTACCCTTCCTACACACCATTCTGCCATTCTTTCCTTCCCTGAGAGAACCTTATACCTTTTTTTTTTGGTGCTGGGAATCAAACACAGGGCCTTGCGCTTGCCAGGCAGGTGCCAGAAAGCTACATCCCCCCCCTTATGCCAATTAACTTCACTCTTCTATGAAAAACTGCTCAAGTCTCTGGACATTAAAGAAATGTAAATTAAAACAACACTGAGATTCCATCTTACTCTAGAAAGAATGGCTGTTATCAAGACGTCAAGTAACAAATGCTGGTGAGGCTACAGAGAAAAAGGAACCCTTCTACCTTGGTGGGAATGTAAAGTAGTACAACCAGAAATCAGTATGGAGAAGAAATCTCAGTAGGGAGACTCCACGAAAAAACTAAAAGTAGAAATTCCATTTGACCCAGCATTTCCCACTCCAAGTAACTTCTCAAAAGAATTAAAGACATTATATGGCTCAGAGAAGCTAAACCTTGGAAGTGGCTCATGTGTCTACTAATAGAAGAATGGATAAAGAAGGTGAGATATTTATACACCAGGAAGTATTACTCTGCCATAAAGGATAAATTTCAGTTCTTTGTAGGAAAACATGTACTTTGAGATCAAAATGTTAGGTGAAGTAAATGTGACACATGGGCTTAAATATTTATAATTTCTTTTCTAAGAGAAACCCAAAGTATATATAAAAAGCAAAATGAAAAACATGTAATAGGAAACAGGGAGACAGATATTTTGCAAGGGGAAAGGGACTAAGAAATGGAGGGAGGAGAGGGGAGGACAAGTAAAAAGGGTTAAGATGTGTTAAGCACATGTACAACTCCTCACAATGAATGTAATCATTATGTAAGGTGAAGGTATTAATAAAAATTTTACAAATTAATCTCACTCTTCTGTGATCTGTACATCACCAACTTACCGACCTTGCTCTACACCTAAACTGTCACTGTGTACTGTACTGTACCATGTTACGGCAATATCCCAGTCTGCCTTTATGTCCTGGAAGGAGGGCTGGGAAAGAAGCATGCTGGCTGGATTAAAACACTGTCACAGAGCCCACTCCACTGACCGCTGCTGCAAGGCAAAGGCAGCCAGTGGACCACAGGAAGTTCTGGGAAAAGTAGGTCTGAAACATCCAAACTTAGGGGACTGGTAACTATTCCACATTAGGGTTCAGCAGGCAGCTGCTCAACTTAATGCTATACAAACTAAGAAAAATGTGGATTACCCTATGGCAAAAGTGTTCAGAACCCTGCTGGTATTTCTGTCTGTACCCCTACCACCTTCCACACAACGGGGTAGCTAGCAAGAAGGGTGCTGAGTGGAGCAAACTCTCCCACTGCTGTCCACTTGCCTACCCTTCCTACCAGGCTCTTGACACTGCCCCATCACTTAACCTGCACACGAAGAATGATGAGCACAGGAGACCAGGCTCCAACCTGGCTCTGTATCTCCAGACTGAAAACACTCCACATATTCCTACATGGCATTTTTGCTGGCTCTCCTTCAGTAATTTACAAAGTCCAACCAATGTAAGAGGTAACGCCCTTCTCTCCCAAAATGTCAAATAGTAACTCAGACTATCAAGAGGAAAATAAAGCACATGTAAAGCAACAACCACACAAATAATCTCAAAACAAAAACCAGGTTTATAAAAAAAAATTATGAAACAGAAACACTAAATCTGCTGGAACATAGAATTGGTAGAATTCTTAAAGACACTGGTACAAAGATTTATGAACAAAACCTGATCGCACAGGAAATACTACAAAGGATCAATAGGATCTCATCTTATTAAAAAGCTTATGCACAGCAAAAGAAACCACTAACAGAGTGAAGAGACAACCCAGAGTGGGGAAAAAAAAAAAAAAAAAAACCTGCTAAATGTTTCTCAAAGGACTAATATCTTCAAAACCTCCAGAAGGAACCAACTCTATCCAGACCTGCATTTTGGATTTCTGGCCCCCAGAAAATAAACTGCTATTGAGATAAGCCACCAATTTGTGGAACTTTGTTGCAGTAGTCTCTGGGAACAAATACAGCAACTGTCTCCGCGACAGAGGACTGAAACTGCATTTTTCTTCTGCAACTTTTACCTTTCTAAGTATGCTGGGATGGGGCTGGGAGGGAAGAGAATTGAGGCATGTCATCATCAGAAGCACACCCTCTTGGTCTCAGAGGAGAGCATCTGACCCTGGCTGCTCCAACACTTCCCAGACCACAGGGACCAGTAACATGTGGCAGGCACGAGCACAGCCCCTTCTTCCCACATCTAGGCTGTCCAGATGCCCATGCCCCGGCTACTGCAGGGAACACATGTGCACCTACCCACACCAGACGCCTCTTCCACAGCATGCAAACACAGAGCTGCGCCAGCCCCCAGCTCACACCTGAGACCCTCACATGTGTGCAGGGTCCCATGGAGTCAGGCCCATCAGGTGCCCCAGCTCGAAAGCTGCACCTTTCCATCACACTGTCAGTCCTGCATCCAACTCAGAGCCCTTCTTTCGTATGATTTTGAGGGACTAAGCAGAGCCTCTCCTCTACATCTACCACAGCTTTCTCAGCCACAGCTTTGGCTTGGCAGTTACTGTGCAACCCCACAGGCTGGAACCCAAGACAAAGAAGAGACCCATTCTGATCCTGCTCTAGTCAACAGCAAACTGCACAGTGCTACTGGACCTTTCCCAGTGTCGTCGTCATCTTCTGTCTGCTCTGGCAAGACTCATGCAAGGGCCCCTCTGAGGGGTTCAAGTTCCATGGGCTTCACACATACCCACAAACATTAGAAACACTCTTAAATGTGCAAGTGGTGGGTTTATTTTTCCAGAATGGAACAATGAAACTCAAAGGAAAAATGTATAATGTTTATCAGGGCATCCTAGCACACATCTGTAATCCCAGCACTCAGGAGGCTGAAGCAGGAGGATCACCTTGATTTCCAGGACAGCCTAAACTACACAGTGAAACCCTGTCTCCAAATAAATACATAAATAAATAACCAAAAAAGAGAGATGTAATTTAGCTCTGAGTTTCTGGGAGCTCAGTCCATGGTGGGGTGACTCCAAAGTAGAAACAATACAGCAGAAGGGTGTGGGATGACAAAGCCAGTCACGCCATGGTGACCAGGGAGCAGGGCACAGGGGAAGAGCCAGAGAGGAAGGGGCCAGGTGTGAGTGTCTGCTGCACTCGGGGCCCGGGGTAGAGGCACACACAAAACCAGGACACAGGGGATGCAGAGCAGCAAGAGCCAAGTTTGTAACTGTAACTGTATACTGAAGTTTATTCTGTAAGAAGTTTTATA